GCGTCGCACCACGCGGCGAACGCGGCGCCGCCCTCCCCGCCCGCCCCGCCGGCGGACGCTGACCGGTCAGCGACCCCGCGGGCGGGCGCGTCGCCGCCTGCGCCGCGCGGGGCAGGCACCGGCAGGAAGCCGAGCGCCGTCGTGTACGCGCGCCCCGCGCCGGCGGCGTCGCGCTGCGGCACTGCGGCGCCCCCTCGGCCCCGGACTCCGCCACCTTCGCCGCCGCTGTATCCCTCAGCACTGCTCTCTTCAGATTCGAACCGCCCCTCCATCCAAGCGTCCCCCAGCAGTGAGTGCGCCCCGACCAGCCACCTGCACAGCAGCTTCTCGTCGGCTTCCCGCAGCCCCGCCAGCTGCGTCAGGCCGGCGCCGGCCTCGCGCCGCGCGGCGCGCCACAGGCCGAGCCGCGCGGCGAGGGCGGCGCGCGCAAGGGCCGCCTCGTGCGGTGGCGGGCCGCGGCCGGGGCGCAGGAGCCAGCGGCAGAGGCGCGCCTGCGCCGCCGCTGTGGGGCGGGGAGCGTAGCAGCAAGGGGTAGGTTGAGCAGCCAGGTGTGGTGTGTGAAGGACGGATGCAACGGTTACGTGCTTGGTGGAGTGAATGATACAGCGAGACCGGCCATTGAGTTTCAGATACCAACAGGACTTCAGCAATCAGGACCGCAATTTTGGGGCCGAAACCGGGCGCCAAAGGCGTACTCGCCACGCCCCCGCCTCCCCCTCAACTCAGCAGCAGAGCAACTTGCCTTGAAGGGGCTTTCCAAGCCACCACCCTCCGCCCACCACGCAATGGCTGGCGGCCCCATGCTGTCCCCTTGCCGCCCCCCCACCCCTAAAAAAACCATCACTCACCCGGCCCCTCCTCCTTCACCTCCAAAAACATGGCCTCCCGCACCGCCTCCCGCCTCAGGCCCGCCGCGTCGCCCTCCAGCCGCCGCCCCTCAGAATCCACCACCGCCGCCGCCGCCGCCGACGCGCCGCCGCCGCAAGCCCCGACGGTCTGCAGCGCGGCCGGCTCCGCAACGGCACCCACGAGCGCGTGCGCATCGGCCTCGGGATCCCGTGCTTCGTGGCCGTCAGATGCTTCGAGCGTCAGGAGCGCGCCCGCGCCGCCAGGGCAGCCCGCGGGCGGAAGCGGCAGGGG